TTTGCATGAATAGTGGCAATGGCTCATGTACAAATGCGGTTAGCTACTTGCAAGGAATTCTTGCAAAATGGATTTTGGATGCAGAGAGGTTTGCACCACAATGCAGCGCATTTTGGGGAAACGTGGTCACTTAAGACTCACACGGCGGTGCATGTCTTGTTGTTAGTTTTTAGATGGACAGCTCGTCGGAGGGGAAAGATGGAGCTGATCTTATTCTCAGGCGGGATAGGTGCATAGACTGCAGAAACACTGGCCAGATGCCTATACAGCGAGAGAGACCTTGGAAGCATGACCACACAAAGGGTTGAGAACTCACACACTCGTGTCCAGATAACAGAGTTGTGCATCAGACTGCTGCAGAATCGTAGCGATCTAGTTAATTGAAAAGAGGACTGAAAGGAATCTTTTTCCTCTCCCTGATTTTGACTAAAGTGGTAGGTTTTCTTTTTCTGATTTTGACGAAAATGTTATGTTTTCGTTCTCTGATTTCGACGAAAGTGGTATGTTTTCTTTCTCTGGTTTTGGCTAAAGTGGCACACATTCTTTCTCTGCTTTTGATTAAGGGATTACCTTCGAAGCAAAAAGGGCAGGGGTGCTAGCAATCGGAACCCATCCCCTTAGAGCACCTCCCAGGTTAGATGATCATTTGAGGGACAGCGCGTCCAAAGGTGTTCTTAGACCAAATGCCCCCAAAATACGTTAATTAAATATTTTGTTAGTTTAAATGTTCATTCTGTGTGCAGTGATGTATTCAGGCTAATTCACTAGTCATAAGCTTGTGCATATTGATACTTTTTGCCACAGAAGAACGTTTATACCTTGCACTAGCGAAACATTTTTATAAACGCGTTTCGGTCAGTTGTTTGAGAACCATTTGATGAATGGCGTGGCTTTAAATTTAAATTTTAAAATATATGTTTCAGGAAAAGACTGACTGCTTAAAGCCAATGCATATTTAATATAATTTTTAAATCGATTTTAATTTCATGTCACAAGTATTATTTACAAAACAAAACAGATATTGTAAAATATATGCGGTTAAGCGTAATAGGGCTAGTGAAAGGAAAATGATGTGGGAAAATGACGCAACGCACAATGAACGCTTACAAGAAAGTCGCCGTAAGTACTATTGGACAAATGAGGAAAGTGACAGGCAGGTGTGGCAAGAGACGGAGATGTAAACAAACGTAAACGATATGGAAAAAAATGTTTATTGTAGTTTTAGAAAAGCTTGCCCTGTGGGCCTATATTGCACTGTTTCTTTATTTTATCATGATTTAGTTTCAAAACTAATGGGTGGGGGTCATAGTTTATAATGAAAATTATTGGGCGTATTATATATATTCTATTCAAGATGTTGTTTGACACTGCTTTTGATTCTCTCTATTTCTCTCTCCCCCTCTCCCACTCCC